GGCTGAAGGGATAGAGAGGAGAGGTCGCGAACACAGAGCTGACAAGGCTTGGTGTGGGTGGTGAGGAGAGACGAGAGAGGTGCTGTCCCGGGGCAGGGAGCCCTGAGGGGACGTGACCTGGGCAGTGCGGTTAGAGGTGCCTGAGGGGGTGGCAGATCTGTGAGGCTGGGCCTCAGTTTCCGCATCTGTAAAATGAGGAGTGTGGGCTGGGCCACCTCTAGGATTCATTTGCATGGGGTGTGGGGTGCGCAGGTGAGTCATATGATCCCTCACTTTCTACTTCTACTCAACCCCTTCCCAGAGGTTAAGTACCTCTATCCTACATGGGGAAAAATGTTTTGCACCAGTTAGAAAGATGAGCGAGCGTACAGTTCAGCCCCATGAATTAGGAACTGTTACAGTCTGTCTGGCCACTATGTAAAAACCACTTTTCTCAATATCAAAGCCAAAAAAGTACAACTTTGTGCCTTATAGAGAGGAGTACCCTAATGCCCTTTGAGCCTTTGAGAGGGTTTTATCAACAGGTCGTGGTTAAGAGTGTGTCATCGAGAGTCATGCAGACCTCAGTTCAGATACCACCTCAACATTTGCTAGCTCTGGGGTCCCAGACAAGTGGCCTGAGTCTCTGTTTTCTTAGGTGTAGAGTAGGGGTGGTGGTAGTCTCAGCCTGTCAGGATGAAATGACACGGTGCACAAGACATTGAGCACAGTGCCAGGTACTCAGGGACACTAGATACACGGTAGCTATTGTAACACATGGGGGAGGAGGCAGCAGGGAGGTCAGGATATGCTGTGTGCCCAAACTCAGGTGGGTTATTTCAGGGGAGTCTCTGGACCGTGAGCTGGAGATGCCCAAGGTCCTGGGGACTGAGACCTTCATTTGACAGCTGGGGGCTCGAGCCAAGAAACCCAACTTGTGGGGCCCAAGGTCATGGAGCGATTGCAAAAGAGATTCCCCTCAAAGGTCTAAAGAAGTGTGCAACATAGGGACACCGGGGTGGGTCAGTTGGTTAAGCGTTTAACTCTTGATTTCAGCTCAGGTCATCTGAGGGTTATGAGATCGAGCCCTGCATCAGGCTCTGTGCTGGGCGTGGAGCCTGCTTAAGATTTTCTCTCTCCCGGGCGCCTGGGTGGCTCAGTTGGTTAAGCCACTGCCTTCGGCTCAGGTCATGATCCTGGAGTCCCGGGATCGAGTCCCACGTCGGGGTCCTTGCTCAGCAGGGAGTCTGCTTCTCTCTGACCCTCTTCCCTCTCGTGCTCTCTATCTCTCATTCTCTCTCTCTCTCTCTCAAATAAATAAATAAAATCTTTAAAATAAAAAAATAAAGATTTTCTCTCTCCCTCTCCGGCTGCCCCCCTTTCCCTTTATTAAAAGAAAGTGTGCAACATGAGGGGGGATTATTATGAAACCCCTTATTTTTACTAAGAAAGAACAACAAAGCCTCTAAAGTCTTGGAATGACATTTTATGCTCGCAGAGAACTTTATTTTCTCAAAGAGCTTTCACAACTGTTATTAATCAAGAGACTTCTTCTTGAGGAAGTTTTCTTTTTAAAGTAAGGTATTCTTTTGCTGAGGACTGGGGTCAGTGGGAACACCCCAGAGGCAGGGGCTGTGTGTGCGCTGGAAGGAAGTCTCCTCTGCCTTCTCTCTTCCTGGGTCGTCTATGAGGGGTCACCAGGGGGAGCCAAAGGGCCCCGGAGGAGAGCGCCCCCTGCCCAGCTTCCCCACCTGGCAGAGAGGTTGGGGGTGGCCAGGAGGGTGTGGGCAGCTGGATTCACTCCCCCCAAGCCCTATCAAATAGCCGAAAAATCTTTATCCACTCCCTGGAGCGATGTGAATTCTTGGGTTAAGTGATGTCTGTCTTGTTTCTTTGTTCATTCGTTCAACAATAATTTCTTAGGCCCAAGCGGGAGGCTGTGGCCCAGATGCAGATGGGGTGTGAGCTCCGCCTTCAGGAACCCCAGTTTGGGAAGAGGCAGAATTGAAACCCAAGGTGAGCCTGACTCTGATGGGACAGCCCCCAGGTGTGTAGGAGCCCAGAGGAGGCCCTACACCCAGCCACGGGGCAGGAGTTGAGGGTGTGTGCAGAGAAGGGGTGAGCTCTGTGAAGAAGGACATGAAGGGTGCTTCCGGCAGAGGCAAAGGTTCAGGGGTGTGAGAGCAGCATGTCTGTGGGGCCCTGTGGTTACACAAGGCTGGGACTGCTACGGGTACCTCGTTAGCTGCACAAAGCGTTCAGGGCTTGCTTGGAAGGTGACGGGGAGCTATGGAGTGTTCCCTCCCAAAGTGACTGTCGGAATCATCCCTGAGCCTCCACTCTCCTAGCTCAGTTTCCAGAGGCTCCGAGATGCCCCTGGCTGGAGTCCAGGCATACATGTTCTCACCCGGCCAGCCAGGCCCACCACACAGATGCCGCCGTCTCTGTGGGCAGCTCTCCACCATGTCACCGTCACACACATGTGGTGCTTTAGTTTGCAAGGTACTTCAAGAACACTCACTCCTTGGTCCCCACCTTCTTCAGTGGACCTTGGCACATTCTCTCAAGCATCAGGAAAATCTCCTTCTCATATTTCGTGCCCAACTCTAGGGTCTAGGGTGCCTCCCTAGCCACCCCAGGAGCAGAAGTAACCACCTGTTTCTCTGCCACGGCCTTTAGCACATTCACGGAGACTCACACGCGTGTCTCTTCTCCATCCCTGTTCCCTGCCCCCTGGTTCCTCTGCACAGACCACAGTCTCCTCCTGGAAGGAGCCAGGTTCTTTCCATCTGCCCACCTTACAGGGGGCAGGCTGGGCACAAGAACTTGGTATGAGTGAGAGCTGCCCCCAGATTGTGGGGGTCACAGTCTAAACGGCTATCACCTGCATCCATTCCCTCCTTGATCTAGAGGGACTGAGCCTGCTGCCATCAAGCTTGGAAGGCACCTGGCCAGGAGCGAGGTGCCCCTGGTGAACATGTACTTTTTTTTTTTTTTAAAGATTTTATTTATTTATTTATTTGACACACACACAGAGAGAGAGAGAGAGAGAGAGAGAGCGCGAGAGAGGGAATACTAGCAGGGGGAGTGGGAGAGGGAGAAGCAGGCTTCCCGCCGAGCAGGGAGCCCGATGCGGGGCTCGATCCCAGGACCCTGCGATCATGACCTGAGCCGAAGGCAGACGCTTAACTCCTGAGCCACCCAGGCGCCCCTGAAGAGGCACTTTAAAAGACGTCGTTTCTGGTCAGTTAGAGCCCCCACAAAAGGACCTCGCCCTCAAACTCACACCGCTTGCCCTTATCACTGATGCACAAGACAATGTGTGTTTCTAAGGGAGCTTTCTCCCCCAGAAACCAAAACCACACAATTGGGAGGAGGGCAAAATAAAGCCTATAAAGATAAGGGGGTCCCCGAAATTAAGCCACCAGCTAGGAGTGACCATGCAGCAGGAAATATCTGGAGTGACAAGGCTAAGGCTTAGAGGGGGCAGAGAGAAGCACCTCCCCTCCCGTCTTATTCCTGGACAGCCATAGCTGGCCATTTCTGGTCCCCCAGGTTGGGGACCCTTTGCCTCAGCCACTAGGCCAGTGTCATGAGCTCTTTGTGATAGGAAGTCAGGTTGGGAGTGAGGGTGGCTGGACACAGATTTAACTTTTCGGAACTGCAGTGATTGTCTACAGAAGACCATGTGAGTGTGTATGCAGGAATGTGTGTCTGCGAGGATGTGTATGAGTGTGTGTGTGAGAGAGCGAGCATGTGTCTGTATGCCTGAGGGTGTGTGTTGGGAGGGGTGTGTTGGGAGGGGTGTGTGTGTGTGTTGGGGGCAGGGAAGGGAACTGGTATGGAAAGGAAAGCTAGGCGCAGACCCCGGCGGGCAGAGTGGACAAAAAGAGGAAGGTCTTGTCTTTGAGGCGGGCCTGGAGAGCAGGAGAAGAAAAAAGGAGCTCTTATTGGTGGTTGTCAAGGAGATGGGCCTTGGGGTTTGCTGAACTTTCTTCCCTTAAAGCGTCCTGCCTGGGGCTGAGAGGGGCCATTTATTTCCAGCTGCGCCTCCTGGGCGGGCGTCTGGGTCCAGCCCCAAAGGCCACCAAGTGTCAGGTGTATTTCCCAGGCCAGGCCAGAGCGGTGCTTGGGTGGAAGGACAGTGATGGTTCCTCCAGCCCCCAGCCCATCACCTGCCTGCCCAGGGCCTGTCACTGCGGAGGCCCCAGGCCCTGAATACTCGCGGCATCAAACTGGGCAGGCTAAGGGGTCAGCCGGCAGATGGGCTGCGCCACTGGCAGGGACTGCCTGCAAAGTGGCACTGTCCGTCAGGGAGCTTTCCACATGCGCATCCTGCAGCTGTCCTATGACAAGCTCGCTTATGAGCCATTGTCCTTTGGGGAGCGTTAAAAAGTTCATTTGTTTTGAGCGTCTAATTTTAATCGATCCTCATAATTTTTCCTTTCTGGCTCGTTCACCGCTGCATTGCCCTCGCTGGACGCACAGTAGGTCCTCAATAAACATTTCCCGACTGAACGAGTGCACAATTCTGCTTTGAGCGTTCCCATTTCTTTCACGGCAAATGGATGTCTCCGGGCCTTTCTCGACCTCCGAGGGCCGCTCGTCAGGCTCCCTCCTCTCCCTGGAGTGTGCGTGTTGGGGAGGTGGGAGGGCTGCCTCCGGAGGGACGGTCACCCTCGACGACTAGGGCATGGGGGGGTGGGGGCAGGGGTCGGGGAAGGGAGCAGCCTCCGAGCGAGCCCCAGCCTGGCGGAGACCGTGCACCCCAGCGGCCACCGGAGCGGGCCCCGGCCCCCACCCCACAACCTGCCGCCCGCCCCGAGGGGAGGGGGCACCCCCGACGCCCGCCCCTCCCCCCGCGGGCCGGGGGCCGGCGCCCATTGGCCGGCCGCGCGCAGAGCCCCGCCCCCGGCAGCCGCGGGCCAATGAGCGCACGGCTGTCAGCTCGTCAGCCGCGCCGGCTCGGTGGCTGGGAGCCCGAGCGGTGGCCGAGGAGCCAGCAGCGAGGAGCGCTCGCCGAGCGGCCGGTCGGAGGGGTCCCCGCGCCCCGCACGCCCGCACGCCCGGCCGGCCCGGCCAGGCTCGCAGCGAGCATGGGCGCGGCGGCCGTGCGCTGGCACTTGTGCCTGCTGCTCGCCCTGGGCACGCGCGGGCGGCTGGCGGGGGGCAGCGGGCTCCCAGGTAAGCCCCGAGCGGGGCCGGCGGCGGGCTCTGGGCGGCGACGGGGTCCCGGGTGGGCCCCCGCCCCGCGCCGTCGAGGGGGCTGCAGCCCGCGCGGCCCCGCGCCCCGCCCCGCCTCTTTGCAAAGTAACTTCTGGGGCCGACGCCGGGCGCCCCCTCCCCGAAGCCCGGGGGCTCCGGGAGCCCGGCGGGGCCGCAGCAGGGGCGGGACAGGCTGGGGCCCCCCGGGGGAGGGAGCGCGAGGGCGGGAGGAAGAAAGAAAGCGCGACGACCCGCGGAGGGGAGCCCCGGCGCTCGGAGCGCAGGCGGGAGGGAGTGGTGGGGACCCCGGGGCCCGACGGGCGCTCCCCCAGGGGAGAGGGGCGTGCGGGCGGAAGGAGGCCCACAGGGGAGAAGGAGAGGAGGGGAGCCGGGGGGAAGAACTGACCTAGAGAGAAAGGGGTTGGGGGAGGTGGTGGATAGAGGGACGGACGGACAGAAAAAGAGGCACGGAGGGAACACACAAAAGGACACAGAAAGAATCCCAGAGAAAGACACGAAGAGTAGGGAGGAGACCAGAAGACCGGAGGGGAAGGAGGAAACCCAGGGGAGAGAAAAGGAGGCAAATAGGCAGCTGGAAGGAAAAAGACAGAGAAAGGGAGATGTGAGGGACCGGCGAAGGGATGGGAAGGAAGCGAGAGGAGGAGAGGTGGAGGCCGAGGGTGCAGCAGAGAAAGAGACAAGAGGGCTGGGAGCGGGGTGGGGGGAGGGATGGGGGGGAGCAAGACAGACGGATGGGAAAGACAGAAGTGGACATGGCTGGGAAGCAGTGGGCAGACAGACAGACAGGAAGGGGGGGTGGGCAGAGGGACTGACACAGAGGGAAGGAGACGGATGGGAACCAGAGGGAGGGGAGACCAGACTTGGGACCTCCGGGAGGAGGCCCAGGAGAGGGAGGCAGGAGGCACTGAAGGAGGAAATGGGGGGATCTGGGATCCGGGATCCGAAGCATTTGGGGCATGGGTTGGGGCAGGCGGCAGAGGCTGGGGGCGGGGGGTGCAGGATTTCACAGGGAACTCCCCAGCGCCCTCTCCTTCCCCTCCCACTCCCTTGGTTGTCTGGTAGGGGTGCTCCCCCGAAGCTGAAAGCACAGTGTCTCCTCCCACAGCTTTGGAGGAGCTTCCTCCCTCTCTCCTTGAGGGGTGGGGGGGTACCCTGCCTGCTTCTGTTCTCCTTGGCTTCCCCCCGCCCCCGCTGCCATGCTGGGCTCCCCGAAGTCTGTGTTTGGTGGCACAGGAATCTATTCCTGGGAGTCGCACCCTGACTAAGGATGCCAGGCCGTTTAAACTATTTCATAGAGGGAGCCCGCGGAGGCTGGGCCCTGTGGCCCACAGCCCCCACCGTGTCTGTATGTATCTCGCTCCGACTTGAGGATCCTTCGCCCCTGTTTGGCTGTTTCTGTATGTGCCTCTCCCCACCTCTCTGTCCCTCCTCTGTGTCCCAGCCCCTGAAAGCCTTGTGCTGTGACATAAACCAAAGTCAAAGCAAGCACGATGGAAGGGCTGGGCTGCCCTCTGGAGGGAGTCCCCAGCCCTGGGCAGGGTGCAGGGGCAGACCATGGGAGCAAATGGCCTGTGCCTCCTGTCCTTCTCCCCAGCCCCACCTAAAGTCATGTTTAGGAGATGTGTTGGGAGTTGTCTGATCCTCCCCCCACGAGTCCTGTGGCTAACCTTCATCCGTTCCCCTCCCCATGAGGATACCTGCCTAGGTCAGAGATGAGGGATATGGGGCAAAAGGGGCTCCAGAATCCCAGGCAGTTTCCCTCCCCTCATTCCTGTACACTGACCCTTGGGATGTGCATCCGTGGTCCATTTCCCTTGCTGGTCCTATCTCAGAAGTGGCCCCAGGCCTCCCCAATGGAAGGATGCAGACTGGCCCTCCCTGGCCTCTGGCTTCCTGCCCTTGAGGCCGTGCTAACCCTGCATGGGGGTCCCTGTGTTGTCACTTCCCCAGAAGGGGATGTTCTGCTGGTCTGATGTTCCTGCTGGCCCCTGGCCATTTGATGGCTGGCTCTGGCCTGCTACTCTGACTGCTTCCTGGCTCCCGTTCCCCCTTCCTTTGGGCAGCTGTAGAGGACAGGCTGCTAACCTGAGCAGATACAACCACCCTGAAAAGTGACGCCACCTGCTGGGTGTGTCTGTGTGCGTGTGTGCGCGTGTGTGCGCGTGTGTGCGCGTGTGTGTGCGTGTGTGCGCGTGTGTCGGGAATTTTGCTCTTATGCTTCTGGTTGATGCCTCTCTTCCTTTGGGGGAGGCTGGAGCCCTTAGAGACTTAGAGAGGAGCTCTATTCTCTTAGAGAAGCCCCCCCCCACAGATTTAGAGCCCTGATGCCAGCCAGGGGAGTAATTCAGAAGGGACAGTCTCAGGAACCTGACAGCTTAGGGGAAGACTGGAGTCATGAAGGTGCTAGGTGTCCGAGGTGGAGAGGAGAAAGGATGGGGAGGTCAGAGCCACGGACAAGCCACGGACAAGCCCCGCCAACCCCACTGAGGGTGTAGCTCTACTGCTGGCCGCTGCAGGCGGGGGTGTGGAAGCTAGGTGAAGAATCCTCTATTTCCACAGCCTTGGGGCTGAGTGGGGTCAGATCACCCGGCTGGGCCTCCTGGCGTGGCCTCTGCTCACTGTCCCATTCTAGCCTTGGTTTCCTGCCCCTGCCCCGCCCCCCACTGTAACCTCAAGGTGATAGATTAAATTCCTCCAAGGCCCTTCTGGCTCTGAATTCTAGAATAAGGAGAGTGGAGGAGGGATGGAGCAGTGCTTGTGGGGAGAGCAAGACACACAGAGAGGCTTTCCTGGCAGTGCTCCTAAGCCTCGGGTTTTGTCATCTCTCCAGCAGGAGTAATAGACCGACTGAACGGGACCGTCTTGAAAATAAATGGGAGCCCGCATTTAGGTAGCATTGTGTCTGGCACAGAGTAGCTGCCCCCAAAATGCTACCAGTCGCCACTCGTCACACCGGCTTGTCGTGTGATGGCTATCACTGTTAATTACCCCAGCGATCGTTGGAAGGTGGGGGGGCAGAAGGAGCTCCCTGCCCCCAGCCATGACTGCCTGCCGCCCAGGCCACACCTCACCAGTGGTTTCCCCCGCTCCCCCCGCCAGGGCCAGTCGACGTGGACGAGTGCTCGGAGGGCACGGATGACTGCCACATCGATGCCATCTGCCAGAACACGCCCAAGTCCTACAAATGCCTCTGCAAGCCGGGCTACAAAGGGGAAGGCAGGCAGTGTGAAGGTGAGCCCGGCCCGGCCCTCCCGGCCAGACCCCGTATGTGGCCAATGCCCGCCCCGTGGCGTGCCAGCAGTATAGGCCTCACTCAGCCTTGGGAGAGAGGCCGGGGGCTTCTTGGGAACTTGAGCTGCTTCCCCGGAGGGAGGAATTTGGAGTCAAAGGGTACTTAACTCATGCTGGAATTGAAACTTTTGTTTCGTTTTGTTTTAAATGAGTTGAAGTGTTGAATGATATGTTCCTCCTTCTGTCCCTGATGGGACACGTGTGGGGTGCAGGCCTGGGGTAACCCTCCCCCCAGGTCCCTAACTTCGAAACCACCCATATCAGGCCGTGTGGCCTTAGCTTCCCCAAAGGACCTGCTTAGTAGCCAGCCACAGCATTTGTGGGCTGGCTCAGGTACGAGAGCTTGGGAAAAGACATGGATTTGTGCTGTGTCCGTCTGTCTGTCCAGCCTTTCTTCCCTGCACCTGGGATTTTGGTTTGACTGTTTGGCACTGGAAACTGCCTTTCTGGCAAGCTGGAAGTCAGAAAGAGAAGAGTAGCCTCGGCTGTCTTTGGAGCCAGGACTCTTCAAACTGGATGGAACTCATGGGAGCATCTGTCAGGGAGGGGCTGTGTGGCCATTCTGTGTGGTTCTGGGGAAGCCCATCAACAGGGAGCTGGAAGCCACTCTCTCCATGACCCGTGTGCACACCCGGCTGAGAATCATTGATCCAAATCTTCCCTGTCTGTCCCCGCTTTACAGATGAGGAAAGTTGAGGCTCCGAGAGAAATAAGCCCCCAGGTCCTGCAGGGGATGACGAGTACTAAACCCCAGGACCTGAATTTCCACCCCACGGCTCCCTAGCATCTCGTTTGCTTCTCCCCACGTTTTGCCAACTTACTTTTGCAAAGTGTGAGACTCGTATTAGGAAAGCGACCCATGAGAGTACAATGGGTGCCCATCCCTTCTGTGTAAGGCTTTGTAGGAGCTGGAGCTTCGTAGGAGATGCAGCTATGCCTCCTTGGGGTGCTGACATGATTCATCCATCTCACTTGTTGGGCATCTCCTCAAGGCTGAGTGCTGGGCAAATGGCAATGGCCTGGATCGTGCGTGGTTTGGCCACATCTCTCGCCTTGCTTGGGGCCTAGAAGCCTGAGTGCAGAGCTGGCGCCTACCCACAGACCTCTGGAAGGAGGCCAGGCTGGAGACAGGTAGAGGTCATGAGCAAGAAGCCTGGTGGCATGGGCTAGCCCCCTGCTGGCAGGGCCTGGAGGATCCATGTGGCACGTGTGAGACTCTAACGTGATGGTTTTCTACCCTGCTGCTCCCTGCTCCAGTCCCAGTGCTCTGGCAAGGGAGGACCGAGGGCAACCCTCTGTCTCTGCTTGTTCCAGCCCCTGACCCAGCCTGTTCCTCCTCTAGCCCAGCTCCTTAGGTTTCCATCCTGCTGTCCCTGGACCTGGAGGCCCACACTTTATGTCCTGCCTGTCTCCCTGAAGCCCTCTGGAGTCCAGCCTTAGCGCTCCACTCTGCCTGAGCCCGGGTTGGGAGTTAGACTTGCTGGCTCAGTATAAGGTTGAGAGAGGAGGAGGCTTGTAAATGTGCTTCTGGAACTGCCACGGCCCTCTGTGTCTTGCTCGTCTGTCTCTGGCCTCTGCCTCTCACCTCCTGAAACCCTGAATAGCCCTCGTGTCCTGGCCACACACCCACACACGAGGCCGCGCCACGCTTCTGAGCCCCAGCTCAGGTCTTCCCCCCTACCGGGAGCTCCTTTTCCACCCTTTGTGTCCTGGCCAATTCCTAATCAGGCTTTAGATTTGCCTCCTCTGGGAAGCCTTCCTTGATACCTCTGCTTCTACACAATTGCACATATACACACCCACACAAAGCTACATTAAGTGCTTTTCTCCATGATAGCACTTCTTTTTGTTTTTTAAGGATTCTTTGGGGGGAGCAGAGGGAGAGAGAATTTCAAGCAGGCTCCATGCTGAGCGCAGAGCCGGACGAGGGGGCTCGATCTTATCACCCTGAGATCATGACCTGACCTGAGCCAAAACCAAGAGTCAGACACTTAACTGACTGCACCACCCAGGCACCCCTCCATTATAGCAATCCTTTTGTTATTTATTTTATTTATTTTTTTTTATTTTTTAAAGACTTTATTTATTTATTTGACAGAGAGAGACACAGCGAGAGAGGGAACACAAGCAGGGGGAGTGGGAGAGGGAGAAGCAGGCTTCCCGCTGAGCAGGGAGCCCGATGCGGGGCTCGATCCCAGGACCCCGGGACCATGACCTGAGCCGAAGGCAGACGCTTAACAACTGAGCCACCCAGGCGCCCAGAACTCCTTTTTTTAAAAAAGATTTATTTCTTTATTGCAGAGGGAGAGCACAAGCGGGAGGGGCAGAGGGAGAGGGATAGAGAATCTCAAGCAGACTTGGTGCCAAGTAGAGCCTGACATGGCGCTTGATCTCACGACGCGGAGATCACGACCTGAGCAGAAACCAGGAGTCAGACACTTAACCGACTGTGCCACCCAGGCGCCCCCATCAGAGCACTTCCACCTTTGGATTATAATTATGTGTCTTGCTCTCCTGCTGAACAGTGAGCTCATTTATTGGGGGCTGGCCGTGGGCTCAGCTTTGGGGTCCACCGCACGGAAGTTGTCCAACTTGGGCTCACAGTGAGCCCCCAGATTGCCTTTCAGGCTTGTCCCCTATCTTCCCCGCTCCGGGGGCAGAGCCTGGCATGAGCATAGGTGTGCAGAAAATGTTTAGTCTGACTTGGCTGTCTTTTGCCCAGACTGGAGTTCCCAGGAGGTGAGGAGCCACACAGATAGAAGCTGCCCACGGAGGGGCTGTGCGGGCGGCAGGGAAGGGGCATGCTGGGGCCGTGTGAGGAACTGCTCTTGTCATGGTGCCCTCTCCACTCTGTCTAGTGGGAGAGGAAAGCACGAACAGGCTCAGCCTCTGGATGGGAGTCTGGGTTGCAGCCCTCCTCCGATGTGAAAGTCTAGGTGGTCATTTGCCCTCCTGAGCCTCAGTTTCTTCTTGGGTTATATGGGCCCAAGATACCCCCGGCCATAAGCCATCCTGAAGATGGAATGAAATGCCGTGTGGTGAGCGGCAGGCCTGTCCATCACGGTGCCCAGCTCACAGTAGGCACTCGGGATACAGGTGATGGTTCCGTTACTGTTGTTGCCACCATCTCTGTCACCGTGGCTTCAGGCCGTGAGAGGTAGTGTGAACAGACTCGTTTGATGACATCTTCAACGGTGAAGACCTTTGAAGATGGTTCAGTGCTGCCTGCCTCAGAATTGATAATGATAGCACAACCTTGCCCTTCCCCTTCAAGGAGCTCTGGATCTGGGTCGGGCTGCATGAGCTGAAATTATATATCTGTAGAAATTCTTAATCAACAGGGTCAAATGGGTGGCAAGTCGGTACCTGTGGAGTTGCCCTGTTAACAGTACGGAGAATGGGGCTCCTGGGTGGCTCAGTCAGTGAAGCGTCTGCCTTCAGCTCAGGTCACAATCTCAGGGTCCTGGGATCGAGTCCCACATCAGGTTCCCTGCTCCACAGGGAGTCTGCTTGTCCCTCTGCTCCTCCCCCTGCTCATGTGCTCTCTCTCTCTCTCTCTCTCTCTGAAATAAATTATAAAGTAAAATCTTAAAAAAGAAAAAAAAAACACCAGTGGTGGTGGTGGTGTTGATGGTGGTGATGATGATGGTCGTAATGGTGGTGGTGATGATGAGGGTGATGATGAGGGTGGGGACAAGGATGTTGGTGACCATGTGGGTGATGACGATGGTAATAATGGTGGTGGTAATGATGATGGTGGCCATGTTGGGCGATACTGATCACAATATTGATCATGATCATCACATTGATGATGTTGATGCTCCACTAGTATGGAGACTAGTGGTCGAGGACTAAGGGGACACCATTTGGCCACTCACTCCCTGGACCCTCTGTGAAGGTTTCGGGGGACCTGAGTGGACACTGTCCCACTTGCACTGAGGTTTTCTACCCCCTGAGGACAGGCATCAGTCAGAATTAATGGAGCCTGCCGGAGTGTTCCCCCACAGGCCATCAGATCCCCTACCAGCTTCCCCAGGAGGACCAAGCAGAGATTTCTGGAGGCTTTGAAATCTGGAGGGGCTGGCCAGTCACATGCAGTGGTGGCCTGAGGGAGTGTGGAGATCATCCAGATGTTCATTCACCTCCTTGGTTTACAGATGGGAAAATGGAGGCCTGAGGAGGCAGGGGTCTTGCCTGAGTTGGGACCAGAGCCCAGGTTTGGTAGGCCCATTTCTCACACTGTGTTCTGCAAGCAGTTATTGCTACCTGTGGCTCTCTGCTCCAAGAGGAGGAATAGGCAGTCAATATGCAGTTGGGCACAGTGCTTAAAGCATGGGCTTTGGAGACAGACATCATGGGTTCAGATCCTGTCTGTGGAGCCTGGGCAAGTTACTCAACTCCATTTGTTTGTCTGTATACTAGAGATAACAATAATATCTACTTCACAGAGATAGTGTGAGAATTAAATGAGGTAACGGGCATAAAGCATTTGAACATAGCCTGGTACATAGGACACTCTATGTGAGCTTTACACGCTGTTCCTGTGATGATGGTGGTGATGATGATGATGATGGTGGTGGTGTTGATGGTGGTGATGATGTTGATGGTGGTGGTGGTGGTGTTGATGGTGGTGATGATGGTGGTAATGGTGGTGATGACGATGGTGGTAATGGTGGTGATGATGGTGGTGATGATGATGATGGTGGTGGTGGTGGTGTTGATGGTGGTGATGATGATGGTGGTGATGATGGTGATGATGAGGGTGAGGACAAGGATGTTGGTGACCACGTTGGTGATGATGATGGTAATAATGATGGTGGTAATGATGATGGTGGCAATGTTGGACGATACTGATCACGATATTGATCATCATCATCATGTTGATGATGTCGATGCTCATGATAATGTCGATGATAATAATGTTGTTCAGTATATGAAAA